TTTGGGCCCAGCCCTCCCATTGGCGCGGAGCGTGATCACGTGGCCGGAAGCAAACGCTCCCGCGCGGCGCTAACTCCACCCTCTGCTCCAGAGCCTTGCACCTGGCCAGCGACGTGCCGGTGGGGACCGCACCTGGGACCTCCTTCTGTCCTGAGTGGCGCCTGTATCTCTTCAACCCACCCCTTAATGAGCCGGCAGGATGTGACTGCATCTGATCTGAGTGGTTGGATGACTAGCGACGTGAGAGGAAACTAAAGTAGCCACCATTTAGAGATCCGTCCCTTAGGAGCTTAATTTTATTAAATTCTTGCAATATACAGGAGGAGAAACCGGGGTTCTCCCTGGGTTGCATGTGGGGGGTGGGGACCAGCCTTGCCCTGGAGAGAATGAAAGTGTGGGTGGCCTTTCTTTGACCATCTAGTAACAATGTAATCCCCCCCCAAAAAAAACAACAATGTAATCCCTTTAATGTTGCCTTGTAACCATTAACAAGAATCCTGTATAACCGCTTGTAAATCTGCCTTGGAAAGCAGATTGAAAGGAATTGAAAGGATGAGGCAGTTCTCCAGGTATGGTCCCCAGACCAGCAACTTCAGCATATCCTGGGCTCAAATTCTGAAGCCTCTCTTCAGACTTACTAAATCAGAAACTTTGGGTTTGAGACCCAGCAATGTGTTGTGTTGTTTTATTTTGTTGTTGTTACTAGTAATCCTCACCAGAGGAGTTTTTTCCATTGATTTTAGATAAAGGATTTTAGATAGAGGAAGGAAGGGGAAGAGAGAAACATTGATGTGAGAGAGACACCTGGATCAGTTGGCTCCCACATGCTCCAGACCCAGGCTAGGGGCTTGAACCTGCAACCCAGATACCTGCCCTGGACTGGGAATCCAACCCTCAACCCTTCAGTGCATGGGCTGACATTCTACCCATTGAGCCACCCCGACAATCTGTTTTAATAAGCCCTGTATGTGGTTCTGGTGCTTCTAAAATTTGAGAACCACAGAACTCGAGGGACTTTCTCTGTAGCCTACTTGTAGAGGTGGGATAGGAAGGCTGATGGAAGGACCTCCTCAGAAGAGAGAGGGGCAACCAAGAATTTGTGTCTCTCTCACATCAATGTTTCTCTCTTCCCCTTCCTCCAGCAATCAAGAAAAAAGTCAGAAAGGCAGTTTTAGACAAGTATGGGAATGAGACCCTAGAACTGATTCCCATTCTGGTATTCCTAGATTAAAATGTGTGTAAATTATATGGGAAAGATTTCTCAACTGCTAATAATCTCAAATTCATTTTAATAACTTTCATATTATCCAGTGTATTTTTCTGCTAATGTTCTTCTCTATGGTCAAAAGTAAAAGGGTAGAAAACAATATGGACTTTCCTCAAAGAATTAAAAATAGATCTATCATATAATCCAGCAATTCCACTTCTGGGTGTATACCCAAGAAAATGAAAACAGGATTTTGATGAAATATATGCACTCCCATGTTTATCACAACATTATTCACAATAACCAAAATAAAAAAAACTACCCAAATCCTCATCACTGGATGAATAGACTTTTTAAAAAGATGTGGTATATATACAATGGAATATTATTCAGCTTTGAGAAAGGATAATTTTCTTCCATTTGTGACAACATGGATAGACCTTTAAGCACATTATGTAAGTGAGATAAGTCAGACAGGGAAAGATAGAACTGTATCATATCACTTATATCCTATACTAGAGGCCGAGTGCATGAAATTTCATGCACTGGGCTGGCGGGTTCCCTTTGCCCAGCCTGCGCCCACTCTCAGTCTGGGACCCCTCGGGAGATATCCTCCTGCTGGCAGTCAGACATCCCTCTCACAGTCCCGGATCCCTTGCTCCTTACCGCCCTCCTGCAGCAGAGGCAGGAGAGGCTCCAGCCATTGCCACTGTGCTCGCCAGCCATGAGCCCGGCTTCTGGCTGAGCGGCGCTCCCCCTGTGGGAATGTACTGACCACCAGGGGGCAGCTCCTGCATTGAGCATCTGCCCCCTGGTGGTCAATGTGTGTCATAGCGACCAGTCGCTCCACTGTTCGGTCAATTTGCATATTAGGGTTTTATTATGCTAAGTGTCTGGTCATCCAGTCGACTATTCAACCACTAAAAGCATGATATGCTAATGATATGCTAAAGCTGCTCAACCACTTGCTATGATGTGCACTGACCACCAGGGGGCAGTCGCTCCAACTGGTAGGTTAGCTTGCTTCTGGGGTCCAGCCAATCAGGACTGAGTGAGATGGGCTGGACATGGCCTGGAGCCCTCCTGCGGTCCCTCCCTGGCTGGCCAACCTCCTGCATCCCTCCCTGGCCCCCACTGTGCACAGCACCAGTGGGGGTCCCTCGGCCTGGCCTGCACCCTCTCGCAATCCAGGACCCCTCAGGGGATGTCTGAGAGCTGGTTTTGGCCTAATCCCACAGGCCAGGCCGAGGGACACCACTAGTGCATGAATTCGTGCACTGGGCCTCGAATATAAAAAGTTTTTTTTAAAAAAAATATGGAATATAAAAAGTTAAATCTGAAAAAAAACAAAACAATAAAATGGTGGTTGCCTGGGGATGAGAGAGATAAAATTAATGTTGTTCAAGGGTGCAAATTTGTAACGAATAGTAAATAAGCCATAAAGAGCTAATCCACAGTATAATCAATATAGGCAATAATATTGTACTATAATTATGTAATGTGATAAATATCACATCCTTTCAAGTATATGTTCCCTATCCTTCCACAAATTCCTTTTTTCTTTCACAGTTTTTAAAACTTGAGCAAGACAAACAAACCAACGATTACTTGACTCTCATTTCAAGCTCTGATGACAACAAACACATTATCTTCTGAGCCCTGACAAAGACTAGCAAGGTTATAGAAAGCCCAGTCGCCAACTCTGTTTTTATTCATGTAGTCTGTCTGTCTGCCCGTCTATCTGTCTCTCTATGAATTTTCTGGCCATCTATGTCATCATCCCTGATTCATATGGTAATAAAAATATGTTTCCTGAGCAGCAAACCGTCTTACCCGTTTGTGGCTGTTTAATTTAGTGCCTTTCTCCACATTTGCCTTCCTTAACTTATTTTAATCTATAACAATCCCTCACTCATAATCTTGTTGTGAAGATTAAATGAAACTTACTGAATCAAATCAATGTTAGCATCTCAACTGCCTTTTTCTAACCACTGTTTTATTTTTTTTCCAGCTATATTGAGGTATATGTAATACACAAAAAATGCACATATTTAATGTTTACATTCTGCTGAGTTTTACACATGCATACACCTTTGGTACTGTCTTCACAAGGTAATAAAAATATCCATCACCTGCAAAAGATTTCTTGTGTCCCTTTGTTATTTATCTGAAGGGTGTGGGGGAAGGTAAGAAAATTTAACATGAGATCTACCTTGTCAACAAAATTTCAACTGCACACATTTTGGTGTTTTGTTTTTTTTTGGTTTTTTTTTTTTTAAATATATTTTATTGACTTTTTACAGAGAGGAAGGAAGAGAGATAGAGAGCTAGAAACATCGATGAGAGAGAAACATCGATCAGCTGCCTCCCGCACATCTCCCACTGGGGATGTGCCCGCAACCCAGGTACATGCCCTTGACCGGAATCGAACCTGGGACCCCTCAGTCCGCAGGCCGACGCTCCATCCACTGAGCCAAACTGGTTTCGGCCTGCACACATTTTGTATAACTATAACTTATATTTATTGAACAACACTTCCCCATTTCTTCTCTTCTCAGCCCCTGGAAACCACCATTCTATTTTCTGATTCTGTGAGTTTAACTATTTTAATGCCTCATATAAGTGGAATCGTGCAGTATTTGGTTTATTTCACTCAGCATAATGTCCTCTATATCACAAAGGGCAGGATTTCCTTCATATTAATTGATTTCAGAGAGGAAGAGAGAGGAATATCAATGATGAGAATCATTGATCAGCTGCCTCCTGTGCGCCCCCTACTGGGGATTGAGTCTGCAACCAGGGCATATGCCCTGACCTCCTGGTTCAATCACTGAGCCACACCTGAAAGGGCTTTCCTTTTTTTTTAAGTTTGAATACTATTCTCTCTTATGTATATGCCCCATTTTCTTTACCCATTCATCTGTCAGTGGATAGTTACATTGTTTCCCTATCTTGGCTATTGTGAATATTTCTGCAATGTACATGGGAATGAAGCTATCTCTTCTGTTGTGCCCAGATTTCAAAGTTCCCAAGACCCCCAGGGAGCCAGTCAGTCCGATGCAAAAGCAAAGAGTCCTTTTTAATGCAAGCCGGCTTGCACTCCCAGCTCACCAGACCCACCGACACAGCAGAAAGTCCAGTGGCCGAGAGCCCGAGGCCTGATGAGACAATGGGTTATATAGCGGGGTGGAGTGAGGGCAGGAGAGGGGACTGTGGGTCCCGCTGATTGGCCAGGCGCGAGTCGGTACAGGATGTGGTCATAGTGATGGCATGCACTTCCCTTGATTATTATTGGTTAGTCCAGAGAAATCCTGGGTGTGTCTAGCAGCGGCTTCTTCCGAGAAGAAACACATGGCCCAAAATGGAGGACCCAAGGCAAGATGGAGGGCCTTGCCTGGCTCCCGCTGCCGCCGCCTGAACACGCTGCAAGGCAGGATGGCCC